CATTTGCACATTGTTACAACACTGCATATAGACATGACATTTGAAATGTCTGGTTACTGTTCATTTCTGATTATTTTCTATTTAACTTGATATGGCCATGTAAACATATGTTTCCCAATAAAGACCTTTACATTGAAATGAGAGAGGCCCATGTTCTCCTTGGCTGCAGTAGCTGAGAGAGAGATCGAGAGGGAGAGAGAGGAGAGAGGGAGAGAGAGGAGAGGAATAAGAGAGAAAGAGAGAGGATGATGATATGGCGCAGAGGAGGGAGGAGGGAGGAAATAGGAGGTGAGGAGATTGCTAGATGTAGTCGTTTCCCGCGGTGGTGCTCGTTGTTAGTGCTCTATCTTTCGGCGAGTCTTTCCGCGTTTCTCGCTTGGGCTCTGCTTTGGTTCTTCTTCTTTCTTTCTTCGTGTCATAGTGCTCGCGTTCGCTATTCTGCTTCGCGGGATCTCCGAGCATCATCGAGGTGATCATCGGATTGTTCAGGGGAGGAAGCACTTGGCATCGATGACCGAGCCCCCACCAAGACAGTGGCCCTTTCTTCAATGGCCAATACAGCACTTGTTCCCATGTCATTGTCAACCGTGGGAAAGTAATGATGTTCTAACTGTGTATGTACATGTTCTCAGTGTTGTCACCTATCCTACACGAACCACGTCTGTCTTTCCTACATTCCAGACCCAAACGGCCAACAACAGTCTGTCGGTCTGTCTACATATCCAGGACACTCCACACAGTCTGTCTGTCTACATATCCAGGACACTCCAACACAGTCTGTCTGTCTACATATCCAGGACACTCCAACACAGTCTGTCTGTCTACATATCCAGGACACTCCAACACAGTCTGTCTGTCTACATATCCAGTACACTCCAACACAGTCTGTCTGTCTACATATCCAGGACACTCCAACACAGTCCTGTCTGTCTACATATCCAGGACACTCCAACACAGTCTGTCTGTCTACATATCCAGTACACTCCAACACAGTCTGTCTGTCTACATATCCAGTACACTCCAACACAGTCTGTCTGTCTACATATCCAGGACACTCCAACCCAGTCTGTCTGTCTACATATCCAGGACACTCCAACACAGTCTGTCTGTCTACATATCCAGGACACTCCAACACAGTCTCACACAGGGTCTGGTTTGACAGGGACGGACAGCACAGAGACAGTAGAGAGTTCAGGACCCATCACCCACACATTCTGACACATCCTCCTCATAGAAAGACTGTTGGTGGTGGTGGGGGTGGAGAGGAGATCTCACAGGGAAGTGGACGACGCGCTCATCATTTCAATAGCAGGTGATTTCATCTTTCATTTGCGGGCCGAGCAAGTAGCCTATAATGACCGACCCTCTATACACACACATTTTAACTTGACAATATCATACATTGATTGTTTGGAGGGAAAAAAATAAAACCTTTGCACAATCTAAACAGTGTTATTGTGAGTGATTTAGAACAGGACACAGTAGAGCTCTTTAAAAAGCGGTTTGATCTTTTTGACTAATTCCATTTAGTTTGACAAATTCTGTTTCCCCGGTTCAGTTTTTCCCGGTTTTCCTAGTTTTAGGTTCACTACTTTTTTTTTTTTTATAGAAAAACCACATCAGGAGACCACTTTTTAGATCTGGGAAAGATCAGGTAGTTTCCGTTTAATTCAATTGCGCACCGAGCAAGAGACCGTTGTGTTCGGCTAGCAGTGTTTCTATAGCCTATCGTACAGGGCAGGACCATGTGATGGCAGACCTAGCAAAACAAATGCCCACCTGGTTGACACAAATCATCACGATAACATTCTGCCAGGTAAAACTACTCTGCAGTCAGCATTTCATAAGGAGGGTTTTGGTTGTGGGGAAAGCCTTTAGAAATGACTGTTTCAGCATGCTAACTGGCTACAAAACCATAGACCGTAAAAAGAATGGACGAAGTCATCGATGACGTCACCCCATTGTTTCCTAAGTCTCAGTGGCACATTTTAAGATCAGGAAGTGTTGTTTTAGCATGTCGCCATCTTGCTACATGGAGTTTTTGGAAGCACTGCATGCACAGTTTGAGCTACTCCAGGAAGTGTCATTGCAGGCTGGCTCAGTGCTGCCCCCTCTGATTATCTCAAGTTGTTTGAGAGCTGAGGGCTCTTGCTGGCCGACAGATTATTCAGCTCAAACTAGGCTGTGTGCGGCGCCTGTGTGACAAATAATCTACATAATGAACAGCTTTGGGAATTCATCCGGTTTGGTTTTTTATTTTCATCAAATCAGTTATAGTCTAGATTGAAAATGGCATTATTCCAATATTTCGTTTCACTGGCCACTTACGTGGATGATTGACTGGCAAGGTGAGTTTCCAAAACCTGCCGGGCCAGAGAGCAGCCCTGTATGTCGAGCCCTGCTCGCGCGCACACACACACCCACACACACCCACCACACACACCCCCCACACACACACCCACACCCCAACCCACCCACACACCCACACGTCTGTGTACCTGTAAATTGTGTCTCTCCAGCCTCAGCTCTAGAACATTGTTCTGTTCTTCCAGACGTTGTCTCTCTCCCTCCAACTCCTCAATCTTCAGCCTGCCGACACACACACACACACACACACACACACACACACACACTAACTCCTTAGATGAGCTCAACAGCGATCATCATTGTATGTGTAATGGAGTGGTGTGTGTGTGTGTCTCCACTCCATTAATGAGCTGAATGTTTGTTTTGATATCCAGGCAGTAATGGAACAGAAACACTAATCACAACGTGTGTAATTGATGGAAATGTGTGTGTCTGTCTTTGTGTGTTCAGTGTGTAGTTTACATAAGGAATGTAAGTAAGTGGAAAGCATCTGTGTGTGTGTCAGTCCATTGTGATGTAATGTCTTATAATAATAATAATAATAATAATAATAATAAACCATTTAGCAGACGCTTTTATCCAAAGCGACTTACAGTCATGTGTGCATACATTTTTACGTATGGGTGGTCCCGGGGATCGAACCCACTACCCTGGCGTTACAAGCACCATGCTCTACCAATTGAGCTACAGAGGACCACCATGACTACATGAACTGAACACCATCTAATCCTAATATAACAACCCAACAAGACACCTAGCTAAAGATACAGCTTCATACATTCTAATGTTCTTCATTCTTCACTTCTATGTTCTACAGTTCTGTGTTCCACAGTTCTGTGTTCCAACGTTTGGTGTTCTATTCATGGGTTGCACGTTTCGTCCCAATATTGTTCTGAACGTTCGTTTTGGACTGATGCCCGACTGAGCATTCTACTCCATGCACTGTCAATGAGCGCTGATGAAGATTTCTCCAAAAGTGAATTATAGTGGCTTGGAAATACAAAGACATTCAACAGGAGCCAAATAATGAGTAGGAAAACCTTTGGTCATCATCTTGATGTCACCAGATCGACTTTAGATTCAGTATAACGTTTGCATTGTTAGCTATTGTTGACAAACTTTGCTAGCTAATTACAACATTGACACCTGTCTAAAGTAAATTTGACGACATGATAAATACTGGCAAAGTTATTTCCTACTAAATGATTGACTACTTTAGCAATGTGATGGTATTTCCAGGCTCTATAGTGTAATTCAGACTAAACAGTAGTTAGCCTCCGTCCAGAATGACTGGGTTTATCACCACTATGACGTCGCTGGTGGAGGGCAGCTTGAGAACGTTCTTAACGATGGCATGACGCGACCCAGTGACCGAGGTGCAACCTATGAATAGTTTTATGTTCTATAGTTCTATGCTGTATAGTTTTGTGTTCTAACGTTCTGTGTGTCTAGTAGTTGAGTGTTCTAACGTTCTGTGTGTCTAGTAGTTGAGTGTTCTAACGTTCTGTGTGTCTAGTAGTTGAGTGTTCTAACGTTCTGTGTGTCTAGTAGTTGAGTGTTCTAACGTTCTGTGTGTCTAGTAGTTGAGTGTTCTAACGTTCTGTGTGTCTAGTAGTTGAGTGAGCTCGTTGATCTCCAGTGTGATAGTAATGTCAGGGGACTTCCTCGATAGGATTCGTGTCTCCCTTCACTCTACATCACATTAGCAACTACTTTATTCTCCCTTCTCCCCCCATACCAGTCTGACCTCCATCTCTCCTCTTTCTCTATCGCTCCCAATCGCTAAGTGGACCTCGCTTCTCTCTCCTGGTCTTTCTCTCCTCCTCCTCCTCCTCCTCCTCCTCCCTCTCTTTCACCCCCCACCTCTAACTAACCTCTTCTCCATGTATCCCTCCCAGCCTCCCTGTATATTGATGGGGCGAAGAGAGAGTCATGTCTCATTATTCTCCACAACTCAAACTAAACCTCCCTCCTTCCCGTCTCCATCCATCACTCTCTCCTCTCCATCCCTCCCTCCCTCCCTCCCCTCCTCTCCATCCCTCCTCTCCATCCCTCCCCTCCCTCCTCTCCATCCATCCCTCTCCCTCCCTCCCTCCTCCCTCCCTCCCTCCTCTCCTCTCTCCCTCCTCCCTCCCTCCTCTCCATCCTCTCCATCCCTCCCCTCTCCTCCCTCCCATCCCTCCCTCCTCTCCATCCGTCCATCCTCCCTCCTCCCTCCCCCATCCCTCCAATCCCTCCTCCCATCCTCGTCCCTCCCCTCCCTCCCCCTCCCTCCTCCCTCCTCCCTTCCTCCCTCCTTCCTCCTCCCTCCTCTCTCCATCCCTCCTCTCCCTCCCCTCCTCCTCCTCTCTCCCTCCTCCTCCTCTCCATCCCTCCCTCTCTCCCTCTCCTCCTCCCTCCTCCCTCCCTCCCTCTCTCCTCCCTCCCTCCTCTCCCTCCTCCTCTCCTCCCTCCTCTCCTCCCCTCCCCTCCCCCTCTCCCTCCTCCTCTCCATCCTCTCTCCCTCCCTCCTCTCTCTCCTCCTCCTCTCCTCTCCTCCTAGCCAGCGTCTCTCTCCCATCCACTACCCCGTCTACCTCTCCTCACTACCAGCCTCTCCTCTCCCTCACTGCCACCGTCTGCCTCTCCCCTCACTAGCCACCGTCTGCCCTCCTCACTGCAGCCACTCTGCCTCTCTCCTCACTACCACCCTGCCTCTCCCTCACTAGCCCCGTCTGACCTCTACTACTGACGCCGTCTGATCTCCTCACTAGCCAGCGTCTGACTCTACCTCACTACCAGCCGTCTGACCTCTACCCTCACTAGCCAGCCGTCTGACCTCTCCTCATTAGCCAGCCGTCTGACCTCTACCCTCACTAGCCAGCCGTCTGACCTCTACCCTCACTAGCCAGCCGTCTGACCTCTACCTCACTAGCCAGCCGTCTGACCTCTACCCTCATCTGACTGCCTTACCTCTAGACTACCCTCACTATACTCATCTGACTCTACCTCCATCCTACCCTCTGCTCCCTCATACCTCTACCTCCCATCCCTCCTGACCCTACAACCTCTCACCATGCCGTCGACTCTCTACCAGCTACTTCCCACACTCTACTCTACCACTTTGCCAGCGTTGACCTCTCTCGCTCTACACCTGCTACCCACTATGACTCCGTCTGACTCTCCCTCCAGCTACTCTTACTACAGCGCTGACTACCCTCACTACAGCCGCTGACCTTACCTCACTAGACCTCCCCTCCTCACCTGCATCCTACTGACACTCTCCCCCCTCTACCTACCCACCCATTACCTTACCCTCATAGCAGCCTCTACTCTACCCTACTGCACTGACTCCTCTACATTTCCCCACTAGCACTCTACCTCTACCCTACTCACCCTGACCCTACCTCACTACAGCCTCTGACCTCTCCTCATACCAGCGTGACTCTACCCTCCTACCACCTCTGACCCTCCCTCACTAGACTCTGACCTCTCCCTCACTGCCACTTGACTCCCCTCCTCCCTCTATCTCCACTGCAGCCTCTGACTCTCCTCACTACCAGCGTTGACTTCCCTCTAGCCACCGTTGCCTCCACTGACTCTCCCTCCAGCTCACCTCTTCCCACTATGCCCCTCTGACCTCTCCCTCACTCAGCTGTCTACCTCTCCCTCATCCCACTTGACTCTCCCCACCCCGTCTCCCTACACTCCATCCCCTCTTCTCCCCGTGACCCCTCTCTCTGTATCTCCTACCTCTGCCCTCTCTCTCTCCCTCTCACTGACTTCCCTATCTCCTCAGCTACTCACCTCTCTTCTCTGTCGTTACCCATGATCCCTCTCCTCCCGTCTTCCCACAGTTCCCTCCACGGATCCCTCTTTCCCTCGCTCCCACTGACACCCACCTCTACTGACTACCTCTACCACTCTTCCCTGACTCCTCTCACCGCTCTTCCCACTACTCCCTCTCTCTCCCTTCTTCCCACTGACTCCCTCTCCCTCCTTCCCACTGACTCCTCCTCCCCCCTTCCTCCTACTCCCTCATCTTCCCTCCCTTCTCCCACTGACTTCCCTCTCCCCCTTCTTCCCACTGACTCCCTCTCTCTCCCTCTCTCTCCCCTGACTCCCTCTCTCCCTTCTTCCCACTGACTCCCTCTCCCTTCTTCCCACTGACTCCCTCTCTCCCTTCTTCCCACTCTCCCTTCCCTCCCACTGACTCCCTCTCTCTCCCTTCTTCCCACTGACTCCCTCTCTCCCCTTCTTCCCACTGACTCCCTCTCCCTCTTCCCACGACTCCTTCTCCCACTGACTCCTCTCCCCTTCTTCCCACTGACTCCCTCTCCCTCCCTCCCTTCTCCCACTGACTCCCTCTCCCCTTCTTCCCACTGACTCCCTCTCCCCCCTTCTTCCCACTGACTCCCTCTTCCCCTCTCCCCTTCTTCCCACTGACTCCCTCTCCCTCTTCCCACTGACTCTTCCCCTCCTCCCTTCTTCCCACTGACTCCCTCTCTCCCTTCTTCCCACTGACTCCCTCTCTCCTCTCCATGACTCCCTTCTTCCCACTGACCCTCCTCTCCCCCTTCTTCCCACTGACTCCCTCTCTCCCTTCTTCCCACTGACTCCCTCTCCCCCTTCTTCCCACTGACTCCCTCTCCCCCTTCTTCCCACTGACTCCCTCTCTCCCTTCTTCCCACTGACTCCCTCTCCCCCTTCTTCCCACTGACTCCCTCCCTTCTTCCCACTGACTCCCTCTCTCCCTTCTTCCCACTGACTCCCTCTCCCCCTTCTTCCCACTGACTCCCTCTCTCCCTTCTTCCCACTGACTCCCTCTCCCCCTTCTTCCCACTGACTCCCTCTCTCCCTTCTTCCCACTGACTCCCTCTCTTCCATCTCCCTCTAAATGATCTATTCGACTATTCTCTAAACAGACAGCACACAGGCGCATCCCCCCCCCCCCCCATCCTCTGATTTAAACTAATCAATGAAGGAGATGGCTGGGTAACGAGGGATGAGAGGAGAGATGCGGCTAGTGATTCAACACCACTCAGACACAGAATGATACATTTATTCATCCCCCTCATCATCTTCTTCCTCTGTCTCTCCTCAGACGGAGAGGTAATCACAAGGTGGGGAGACGAGAGGATGTGTGTGTGTGCGTGTGGCGAGACGAGACGATTTCACACGTGTCACTTCCCATCACCACGGCAATGGTGACATTACCCTGGCAACAGGAACAGCAACAGCCAAGTGTGTGTTATAAACGACTGCTGTCTAGGAATAACACGCTTTATTTCACAGCTGTGTGTATACTCACAGTCTGTGCTTGTAGTTTGAGGGACCCAGCCTCCTCTTGGGCTGTAGTCAACAGAACCTGCAGAAGAGAAAAACCCTATTTAGACAAGGTGTCTGTGTGTGTGTGTGTGTGTGTGTGTGTGTGTGTGTGTGTGTGTGTGTGTGTGTGTGTGTGTGTGTGTGTGTGTGTGTGTGTGTGAGAGAGAGAGGGAGAGAGAAATATTCTATAACCGCCTCCACTCTTCTGGGAAGGCTTTCCACTAGATGTCAGAACATTGCTGATGGGATTTGCTTCCATTCAGCCACAAGAGCATTAGTGAGGTCGGCTGGGCACTGATGTTGGGCAATTAGGCCTGGCTCGCAGTCGGTGTTCCAATTCATCCCAAAGGTGTTCGATGGGGTTGAGGTCAGGGATCTGTGCAGGACAGTCAAGTTCTTCCACACCGATCTTGACAAACCATTTCTGTATGGACCTCGCTTTGTGCACGGGGGCATTGTCATGCTGAAACAGGAAAGGGCCTTCCCCAAACTGTTGCCACAAAGTTGGGAGCACAGAATCGTCTAGAATGTCATTGTATTCTGTAGCGTTAAGATTTCCCTTAAATATAAGTAATGGGCCTAGGCTGAACCATGACAAAACAGCCCCAGATCATTATTCCTCCACCACCAAATTTTACAGTTGGCACTGTGCATTGGGGCAGGTAGCGTTCTCCTGGCATCCGCCAAACCCAGATTTGTCCGTCAGACTGCCAGATGGTGAAGCGTGATGCATCACTCCAGAGAACGCGTTTCCACTGCTCCAGAGTCCAATGGCGGCGAGCTTTACACCACTCCAGCCGACGCTTGGCATTACGCATAGTGATCTTAGGCTTGTGTGCGGCTGCTCGGCCATGGCAACCCATTTCACTAAGCTCCCGACGAACAGTTATTGTGCTGACGTTGCTTCCAGAGGCAGTTTGGTACTCAGTAGTGAGTGTTGCAACCGAGGACAGGCGATTTTTACGCGCTACGCACTTCAGCAGTCCCGTTCTGTGAGCTTGTGTGGCCTACCACTTCACGGCTGAGCAGTTATTGCGCCTAGACGTTTCCACTTCAAAATAACAGCACTTACAGTTGACCGGGGAAGCTCTAGCAGGGCAGAAATTTCACAAACTGACTTGTTCGAAAGGTGGCATCCTGTGACGGTGCCACGTTGAAAGTCACTGAGCTCTTCAGTAAGGCCATTCTACTGCCAATGTTTGTGTATGGAGATTGCATGGCTGTGTTCTCGATTTGATACACCTGTCAGCAACTGGTGTGGCTGAAATAGCCAAACCCACTAATACTTGTGTGTGTGTGTGTGTGTGTGTGTGTGTGTGTGTGTGTGTGTGTGTGTGTGTGTGTGTGTGTCTCCGTACCTCCATCTGTGTATTGTGGTTCTGTGTCTTGGTCAGTATATCTTCTGCCTCTCTGAGTCTGCGGGTGAGTTGAGGAGTATAGTCACCTGTAGACAGCTCACTATCATAGGACTCCAGGATAGCACGCATACCATCACGCTCCTGGAACACACGCGCAAAGAGAGAGGCAACTCAAAACACACTGATTATTGAGGCACATCGGCTTTTGTCACTTTTGATGCTAATCTGGCTAACGGCGCTAACCATAGTACTGTATATGCTAGCCCGACTGCTACATGCGAAATAGTGTTCGCAGCAATAACAGCTGAGTTTAAATATTAGCGACCGTCTTAAAACAACATCTTAGAACAACATTTATTATGAAATCATTCCCAGAATCCTAGTCTCTCAGCCTGCATCTTTGGCGCTAACGTTATCAACGCTAGCTAGCTAAGTAGCTAACCCTGCTGCATCTGAAATAAAGTGTTTTCAATGATACAGAAAAATACAGCCTCAGCGACTGTCCAAGCAACCATCCAACACTGGAGGCCTATTAGAACTAACGAAAAGTCTACAAGTAATTCACTATGAAAATAATCGGTTATTTGGAAAGAGCGCATTCTCCGCCGACGGTTTATATAGGTCGCTGAAAATGACTGTCCATAATTTTTTTTTAAATATATATATATATAAAGTCATCTCAGGGATCCTACTCAAGAACATCACAGTAGAAATCTCTGACTAACATTTGACAAAAAATGTCTAGGATCACTAAATACTTCCTAGTCATAAGCCAAGTGTTCATGTTGGTGGAGTTGACCTTTAACAACACACAACTGGACCCCTTTTACGCATGTATGTGTGTGCAAAACGAGTGTGCAAGCATGTGTGTGTCTAATTTCTAAGTGAGGCCTGTGGAGGTCGATAACTCTCCATAAATCCTTATCTCTGGAACGTGTGTGGTAGGGGCTGTGATGGTCATGGAATTTTGAATGATGGTAATTGGCCAGCCAACTGACTGCTGTCACCGTAAAAACGCTTGAAGACGGGACGGCCGGGCATTCGTGCGGTTGAATCAGTTTCTGCATTAACAGATTCTTAACAACGCCTTGCTGAAATGTAGAATGTTATTTCTATGATGTTAACTGATGTGGACTCATGCAATCAAATCACATTTTATTTGTCACACGCGCCGAATACAACACTGTGAAATGCTTACTTACAAGCCCTTAACCAACTATGCAGTTCAAGAAATAGAGTTAAGAAAATATTTACTAAGTAAAATAAAGTAGAAAATAAAAAGTAACAATAAAATGACAATAACGAGGCTATATAGAGGGAAATGGGGGCGTGTCAAATAAGTCGGCCACAACGTCTGTCATAGCAATGAAGGAGAGAGAGACAGAAAGAGGGAAGGTGAGAGAGAGAGAGAGAGGAGAGATGAGAGAGGGAGATGAGAAGGAGAGAGAGATGAGAGGAGACGAGAGAGAGCAGGAGAGAGAGAGAGAGGAGAGAGGAGAGAGAGAGAGGAGAGAGGAGGAGAGAGAGAGAGAGAGAAAGAAAGAAAGAAAGAGAATAACCAAATTGTGTGAAATGACAGTTTAATTCAAACTGACTGAACTTTGTTTTCTCGCCAGTCATTTGTCAAAGAACTAAAACAACTTGGCATGGACTAACTAAACACACACAGACAGATTGATACACACACGGTGTAAAGATGTCCTCCTCAGGATGCTTACTGTGACCCCCCAACACACACAGATACACACACGGTGTAAAGATGTCCTCCTCAGGATGCTTACTGTGACCCCACAACACACACAGATACACACACGGTGTAAAGATGTCCTCCTCAGGATGCTTACTGTGACCCCCAACACACACAGATTGATACACACACGGTGTAAAGATGTCCTCCTCAGGATGCTTACTGTGACCCCCAACACACACAGATTGATACACACACGGTGTAAAGATGTCCTCCTCAGGATGCTTACTGTGACCCCCAACACACACAGATTGATACACACACGGTGTAAAGAGGTCCTCCTCAGGATGCTTACTGTGACCCCCCAACACACACAGATACACACACGGTGTAAAGATGTCCTCCTCAGGATGCTTACTGTGACCCCCAACACACACAGATTGATACACACACGGTGTAAAGATGTCCTCCTCAGGATGCTTACTGTGACCCCCAACACACACAGATTGATACACACACGGTGTAAAGAGGTCCTCCTCAGGATGCTTACTGTGACCCCCAACACACACAGATACACACACGGTGTAAAGATGTCCTCCTCAGGATGCTTACTGTGACCCCCAACACACACAGATTGATACACACACGGTGTAAAGATGTCCTCCTCAGGATGCTTACTGTGACCCCCAACACACACAGATTGATACACACACGGTGTAAAGAGGTCCTCCTCAGGATGCTTACTGTGACCCCCAACACACACAAGGTTGCGTGGTGCCCATACTAAACGTTTTCTCTGCCCCGCTGGCTACTGACTGACCATTAAGACTTAATGAAATTCACTATCTTAAATCACAAATCACACAGGTCAACCCTGATAACACACACAGAGATAACAGTCCCATTAAGCCTTCTATTATTTTCAGAACCTTTTTTTTTTTATATATAAACAAAATTGCTTTTGGTCAACTTATCTGTTGTGATATAGGATTCTACCAGGTCAACACACACAGGGTCATCTCTGTCTGACCGGATTAAAGAATGTATTGGTTAATATGAAAGAGGCTATGATTAGAAACATTGACCAACCTAAAGCAGGGTCTTATCCAAGACCCCATACCAACAGTCCAGGTATCAAAGAGCCTTACGTTTCATGTAAGCCGTCTAGCACTCCTTAAAGGGATACTTCAGGATATTGGTAAGAGGCCCTTTATCTACTTCCCCAGAGTCAGATGAACTCGTGGATACTAATTTTATGTCTCTGTGCAGTTTGAAGGAAGTTGCTATCTAGCGCTAGCGCAATTGCTAACTAGCGTTAGAGCAATGACTGGAAGTCTATTGCATCTGCTAGCTAGTTAGTTAGCATTGGCTCGCGAAACTACCTCTAACTTCCTTCAGAATGGACACAGAGACATAACAATGGTATCCACGAGTTCATCTGACACAAACACACACTACCTTGGTGAGCAGCAGCACTCTCTTCTGTAGTCGTCTGACCAGTGATTCCTGGGTCTCTCTCTTCTTCTGCTCTTCTAGAGCTTTAGATCGTAGAGACAACAGCTCCCCCTGGAGGTCAGCCTTAGAACGCTCTACTGTCCTACAGCTGGGAGGGAGAGAGAGCTTTAGAACGTAGAGACAACAGCTCCCCCTGGAGGTCAGCCTTAGAACGCTCCACTGTCCTACAGCTGGGAGGGAGAGAGAGCTTTAGAACGTAGAGACAACAGCTCCCCCTGGAGGTCAGCTGGGGGGGAAGAGAGAGACAAGGGGAGGAGAGAGAGAGTTAGTCTAAATTCCCCCTCTCTTTCTCTTCATGGGTGCGTCCCAATAATAATTAATTGTCCCTAAGTGTGCACTTGTTCAGTTCTTCCCACAAATCTAAAAGCATTAGATTGGGAGGCATGAAGAGCGGCAGGTAGCTTAGTGGTTAAGAGCGTTGTGCCAGTAACCGAAAGGTTGCTGGTTCTAATCCCCGAGCCGACTAGGTGAAAAATCTGTCGATGTGCCCTTGAGCAAGGCACTTAAACCTAATTGCTCCTGTAAGTCGCTCTGGATAAGAGCGTCTGCTAAATGACCAATTTATTATATGAACAAGTGGGAGCTTCCACCACGGTTCTTATACCTAATTTCCTTTCAAATCAGTGAAGGGAAGTGAACAAGTGCACACTATGGGAGGAAGGAGAGAGAACCTCCCTCCTCCTCCTCCCTCCTCTCCTCCTTCCTCCCTGCACTCCATCTCTCCTCGTTATCTAGTGGTTCTGAACGGTGTCATATTTTATCATTAGCTCCGTATGGGATCAAGAGAGGGTAGCTCGTTAGCTAACGACTAGCACACACCTCTATGCTAGGGCTAGTGTAGCGGTACTAACGAATTCAAGATGAGTCTAATTAGCTGTCTGAGAATTTACGCTCAGATCAAACCCACACTACTGGGGGAGAGAGAGAGGAAGAGAGAGGGGGGAGATACTCTATTGGACACATGAGGGGTGAGAGAGAGAGGAACAGAAAGGGGGGTGATACTCTTTTGGAGCTGGGAAGAGGGGACAGGTGGACATGGCAGAGAGAAGGAGAGGGGGGAGCTGGGAAGAGGAGACAGGTGGACATGACAGAGAGAAGGAGAGGGGAGATGGGAAGAGGGGGACAGGTGGACATGACAGAGAGAAGGAGAGGGGGGAGCTGGGAAGAGGGGACAGGTAGACATGGCAGAGAGAAGGAGAGGGGAGCTGGGAAGAGGGGACAGGTAGACATGGCAGAGAGAAGGAGAGAGGGGAGCTGGGAAGAGGGGACAGGTAGACATGGCAGAGAGAGAGGAGAGGGGGGAGCTGGGAAGAGGGGACAGGTGGACATGGCAGAGAGAAGGGGAGGGGGGAGCTGGGAAGAGGGGACAGGTGGACATGACAGAGAGAAGGAGAGGGGAGCTGGGAAGAGGGGACAGGTAGACATGGCAGAGAGAAGGAGAGGGGGGGAGCTGGGATGAAGGGAGACAGGTGGACATGGCAGAGAGAAGGAGAGGGGGGGGAGCTGGGAAGAGGGGACAGGTGGACATGACAGAGAGAAGGAGAGGGGGGAGCTGGGAAGAGGGGACAGGTAGACATGGCAAGCAGAGAAGGAGAGGGGGGAGCTGGGAAGAGGGGACAGGTAGACATGACAGAGAGAAGGAGAGGGGGGAGCTGGGAAGAGGAGACAGGTGGACATGGCAGAGAGGAAGGAGAGGGGAGCTGGGAAGAGGAGACAGGTTAGACATGGCAAGAGAGAAGGAGAGGGGGGGAGCTGGGAAAGAGGGGACAGGTGGACATGACAGAGAGAAGGAGAGGGGAGCTGGGAAGAGGAGACAGGTTAGACCATGGCGAGAGAAGGAGAGGGGAGCTGGGAAGAGGAGACAGGTGGACATGACAGAGAGAAGGAGAGGGGAGCTGGGAAGAGGGGACAGGTAGACATGGCAGAGAGAAGGAGAGGGGGGAGCTGGGAAGAGGAGGACAGGTGGACATGGCAGAGAGAAGGAGAGGGGGGAGCTGGGAAGAGGGGACAGGTAGACATGACAGAGAGAAGGAGAGGGGAGCTGGGAAGAGGGGACAGGTAGACATGGCAGAGAGAAGGAGAGGGGAGCTGGGAAGAGGAGACAGGTAGACATGACAGAGAGAAGGAGAGGGGGAGCTGGGAAGAGGGGACAGGTAGACATGGCAGAGAGAAGGAGAGGGGAGCTGGGAAGAGGAGACAGGTGGACATGACAGAGAGAAGGAGTAATAAAAACAGATCTTAGAGCTTCTCTGAGGAAAGCTAGAGGAAGTTAAAACTAAAATGGCGATTCTGATACCTATAGTTCTATAGCATGCTAACTATACTGAACAAAAATATAATGCAACATGTAAAGTGATGGTCTGAAATAAATTATCCCAGAAATTATCCTTATTGCTCTCATTGTTTTTAATACAAATTTGTTTCCATCCCTGTTAGTGAGCATTTCTCCTTTGCCAAGATAATCCATCCACCTGACAGGTGTGGCATATCAAGAAGCTGATTAAACAGCAGGATCATTACACAGGTGCACAATAGAAGTTGTCACAACAACAACGCCACAGATGTCTCAAGTTTTGAGGGAGCGCGCAATTGGCATGTTGACTACAGGAATGTCGATCAGAGCTGTTGCAAGATAATTAAATGTTAATTTCCCTACAATAAGCCACCTCCAACGTTGTTTTAGAGAATTTGACAGTACGTCTAACCGGCCTCACAACGGCTGACAATTAGTGTCTGTAATAAAGCCCTTGTGGTGAAAAACTCCCTCTGATTGGCTGGGCCTGTCTCCCCAGTGGGCAGGGGCGCAGCCATGGGTGCGCCCCTGCCCAGTCATGTGAAATCCATAGATTAGGGCCTAATTTATTTATTTAAATTGACGGATTTCCTTCTATGAACTGTAACTCGTTGAAATCGTTGCATGTTGCGTTTATATTTTTGTTCAGTATAAAATGGAGCATTTGACACCATAGCCAATAACTCATAGAAACACAAAGGCAACAAGGTTTATATCTTTTTCATGGTTAAGATTGTTACAAGGTGTTCACACGTGTTTCACCCACACAACAGCTGCTGTGTGTGTGTGTGTGTTACCCGCTGGTGAGTGAGTGTGTGTGTGTGTGTGTTGTGTGTGTGTTACCTGCTGGTGAGAGAGTGTGTGTGTGTGTGTGTGTGTGTTACCCGCTGGTGAGTGAGTGTGTGTGTGTGTGTGTTACCTGCTGGTGAGAGTGTAGTTTTGTTGTTTGAGCGTGATCTCTCTCTGTTGGATCTGAATCACCTCTCTGGACAGATCCTCTGGTGTCCTGTAGGGGACACAACACACAGGGTTAACGCACTGCACGTTCATCAGTAGAGCTCAGAGAGATAGAGTTGTCATGTATTAGACTTTCTGATAAACCACATGGCAACCCTCTACACCGCTGAGACAGAGAGAGAAACAAGGGAGGAGAGAGCAGGGGTGGAGGAGAGAGGAGGAGAGAGAGGAGAGAAGGGGTGGAGGAGAGAGGAGGAGAGATGAGGGAGGAGGGGTGGAGGAGAGAGGAGGAAGGGAGAGAGAGGAGAGGAGGAGAGGGAGAGGGGGGAGGACGAGAGGGAGGAGGAGAGGGGGGGAAGGAAAAGGGGGAGGAGAGAGGAGGAGGAGAGAAGGGAGGGGAGGAGGAGAGAGGGAGGAGAGGTGGAGGAGAGAGGAGAGAAGGGAGGGGGAGGAGAGAGAGGAGGGAGGGGAGAGAGGAGAGGGGTGGAGGAGGAGAGGAGGAGAGAGAGCAGGGGGTGGAGGGAGAGAGAGGAGGATAGAGAGAAGAGAGAGGGGGTGGAGGTGAGAGAGAGAGAGGGGAGAATAGAGAGCAGGGGTGGAGGAGAGAGGAGAGGAGAGAGGGAGGAGAGGAGCAGGGGGGTGGAGAGAGAGGGGATAGGGAGAAGAGGGGGAGGGGTGGAGGAGAGAGGAGGATAGGGAGAAGAGAGCAGGGGTGGGAGGAGAGAGGAGGATAGGGAGAAGAGAGCAGGGGTGGAGGAGAGAGGAGGATAGGGAGAAGAGAGCAGGGGTGGAGGAAGAGAGGAGGGGATAGGGAGAAGAAGAGAGAGGAGTGGAGGAGAGAGGAGGATAGAGAGGAGGGGTGGAGGAGAGAGGAGGATAGAGAGCAGGGGTTGGGAGGAGAGAGGAGGATTAGAGAGAGGGGTGGAGGAGAGAGGAGGATAGAGAGCAGGGGTGGAGGAGAGAGGAGGATAGAGAGCAGGGGTGGAGGAGAGAGGAGGATAGAGAGAGAGGAGCAGGGGGGAGGAGAGAGGGGGATAGGGAGGAGAGAGCAGTGGTGGAGGAGAGAGAGCAGGGGTGGAAGGGGAGGAGAGAGGAGGATATGGAAGCAGGGGTGGAGGAGAGAGGAGGATAGAGAGAAGAGAGCAGGGGTGGAGGAGAGAGGGGGATAGGGAGGAGAGAGCAGGGGTGGAGGAGAGAGGGGGATAGGGAGGAGGGGTGGAGGAGAGAGGAGGATAGAGAGCAGGGGTGGAGGAGAGAGGAGGATAGGGAGAAGAGAGCAGGGGTGGAGGAGAGAGGAGGATAGGGAGAAGAGAGCAGGGGTGGAGGAGAGAGGAGGATAGGGAGAAGAGAGCAGGGGTGGAGGAGAGAGGAGGATAGGGAGGAGGGGTGGAGGAGAGAGGAGGATAGGGAGATGAGAGAACTAAAGAAAATATGAAGACTAATTAGTGTGAGGAAACAGACAGACGATGGGTCGGTTCTAAAGAGAACACACAGCTTGTCAAAGTGCTTTTCTCCAGTCCTAAAGCTTAACTGATGGACCTAGACTCTACAGTAGCTTAATTAATCAACACTTTGCCTGCATCCCAAGTAGCACCCTATTCCCTATATAGTGCACTACTTTTGACCAGGGCCCATAGGGAATCGGGTGGCATTTGGGACGCATACTGAGTGAACTATTCTTTCAAGTCTTCAAAAAACTAACTATTAAATGAGTTCCACCAACTTCCCTTCTCTACCTCAAATGATACTAGTCTATAGCAGTGGTTCCCAGCCTATTATAAACCGTGGCCCACCTTGGTTTATTCATGTACACTGAACAGAGATATACAGTGCCTTCGGAAAGTATTCAGACCCCTTGACTTTTCCCACATTTTGTTACATTACAGCCTTATTCTAAAATTGATTCAATTGTTTTTTCCCCCTCAATCTACACACAATACCCCATAACGACAAAGCAAAAAACAACGTTAGAAATTTTTGTTAATAAGAAAAAACAAAACGGAAATATCACATTTACATAAGGATTCAGACCTTTACTCAGTACTTTGTTGAAGGACCTTTGGCAGTGATTACATTTACATTTTAGTCATTTAGCAGACACTCTTATCCAGAGCGACTTACAGTTAGTGAGTGCATACATTTTCATACTGGCCCCCCGTGGGAATCGAACCTAGCATCAATTCTTCTTTGGTAGGACGCTACAAACTTCGCACCCCTGTATTTGGGGAGTTTCTCCCAATCTTCTCTGCTCGGTCACAGGTTGGATGAGGAGCGTTGCTGCACAGCTATTTTCAGGTCTCTCCAGAGATGTCCGATCGGGTTCAAGTCCGGGCTCTGGCTGGGCCACTCAAGGACATTCAGAGACTTGTCCCAAAGCCACTACTGCGTTATCTTGGCTGTGTGCTTAGGGTCGTTGTCCTGTTGGAAGGTGAACCTTCGCCCCAGTCTGAGGTCCTAAGCGCTCTGGAGCAGGTTTTCATCAAGGATCTCTCTGTACTTTGCTCCGTTCATCTTTGCCTCAATCCTGACTAGTCTCCTAGTCCCTGCCGCTGAAAAACATCCCCACAGCATGATGCTGCCACCACCATGCTTCACCATAGGGATGGTGCCAGGTTTCCTCCAGACGTTGACGCTTGGCATTCAGGCCAAAGAGTTCAATTTTGGTTTAATCAGACCAGAGAATCTTGTTTCTCATGGTCAGAGTCTTTAGGTGCCTTTTGGCAAACTCCAAGCGAGCTGTCATGTGCCTTTTACTGAGGAGTGGCTTCCGTCTGGCCACTCTACCATAAAGGCCTGATTGGTGGAGTGCTGCAGAGATGGTTGTTCTTCTGGAAGGTTCTCCCATCTCTACAGAGGAACTCTGGAGCTCTGTCAGCGTGACCATCGGGTTCTTGGTCAAATCCCTGACCAAGGCCCTTCTCCCCCATTTGCTTAGTTTGGCCAAGCAGCCAGCTCTAGGAAGAGTCTTGGTGGTTCCAAACTGCTTCCATTTAAGAATGATGGAGGCCACTGTGTTATTGGGGACCTTCAATGCTGCAGAAATGTTTTGGTACCCTTCCCCAGATCTGTGCCTCGACACAATCCTGTCTCGGAGCTCTATGGACAATTCCTTCGACCTCATGGCTTGGTTTTTGCTCTGACATGCACTGTCAACTGTGGGAACTTATATAGACAGGTGTGTGCCTTTCCAAATCATGTCCAATCAATTGAATTTACCACAGGTAGACTCCAATCAAGTTGTAGAAACATCTCAAAGATGATCAATGGAAACAGGATACACCGGAGCTCAATTTCGAGTCTCATAGCAAAGGGTCTGAATACTTATGTAAATAAGGTATGTTTTTTATTTTTAATAAATTGTGCACAAATTTGTTTACATCCTGTTAGTGAGCATTTCTCCTTTGCCAAGGTAATCCATCCACCTGACAGGTGTGGCATATCAAGAATCGGATTAAACAGCATGATCATTACACATGTGCACCTTGTGCTGGGGACAATAAAAGGGCACTCTAAAATGTGCAGTTTTGTCACAACACCAGATGTCTCAAATTGAGGGAGCATGCAATTTGCATGTTGACTGCAGGAATGTCCACCAGAGCTGTTGCCAGATAATTGAATGTCTCTACCATAAGCCGCCTCCAACGTCATTTTAGAGAATTTGGCAGTACGTCCAACCAACCGGCCTCACAAACGCAGGTGTGGGCGAGCGGTTTGCTGGTGTGAAAGTTGTGAACAGAGTGCCCCATGGTGGTATGGGCATGCATAAGCTACGGACAACAAACACAATTGCATTTTATCGATGGCAATTTGAATGCACAAAAATACCGTAACAAGATCCTGAGGCCCATTGAGGCCCCATTTTTGGGGGTATCTGTGACCAGTTTATTAGGTACACCCATCTAGTACCGGGTCGGACCCCCGTTTGCCTCCAGAAAAGCCTGAATTCTTCAGGGCATGGAAACATTGCTCAATTGGTATCAAGGGACCTAACGTGTGCCAGGAAAACATTCCCCACACCATTACACCACCGCCACCAGCCTGTACCGTTGACACCAGGCAGGATGGGGCCATGGACTCATGCTGCTTACGCCAAATCCTGACTCTGCCATCAACAGGAACTGGGATTCGTCCGACCAGGCGATGTTTTCCTACTCAATTGTCCAGTGTTGGTGATGGCGTGACCACTGGAGCCACTTCTCTTAGCTGATAGGACTGGAACCCGGTGTGGTTGTCTGCTGCAATAGCCCATCCATGACAACAATCAACGGATTGTGCTTTCTGAGGAGCCGTTCTGCACACCAGTATTGTGCTGCTCCGTTATTTGTCTGTTTGTGGCCCGCCTGTTATCTTGCACGATTCTTGCCATTCTCCTTCCACCTCTCTCGTCAATGAGCTGTTTTCGACCCACAGGACTGCCGCTGACTGGATGTTTTTCTGTTTGTCGCTCCATTCCCGGTAAACCCTAGACACTGTCGTGCGTGAAAAGCCCAGGAGGACGGCCGTTTCTGAGATACTGGAACCGGCGCGCCTTGCACCGACGATCATACCACGCTCAAAGTCGCTTAGGTCACTTGTTTCGCCCATTCTAACGTTCAATCTAACAGTAACTGAATGCCTCGATGCCTGTCTGCCGGCTTTATATAGCAAGCCACGGCCACGTCTGTAGGAGCGAACCATTTTGGTGAACAAGCTGGTGTACCTAATAACCTGGCCCCTGAGTGTACATCAAACACCGGGCTAGTCATGAGAGAAGAATACTGTGTGCGTGTGTCTGTGTTAGAAGTGAAGTGTTTGTAATGTGTCTGCTGTGCTTCGCTTCTCATATGGAAACATGCAATCACTCTGTCATTACGGGCTTTCAGCACAGAACACACACAGCAGGCATAAAGCATAGAAATCATAAACCGTCTCTCCCTCTCGCTCTATAGACACGGCCTCACACAGAGAGAGAATGAGGCACCAGTATTTGTCATGACTCAACAGCTCCACCCAGTGGTGAATATTATACTAGAGACAGACATATTCCAGCTGACCGTATGTTGAGTCCAGTAGATTGTCCCAGGTTCTCCCAGGCCTGTAGTTTCTGAGACAGTTTCTGAAGGAGGACAGGAGGAAACAAGATTACCCACCAGGGTGTAGGGATTCAAGGTTCCACATTTACAAATTCAACTATTAAGCAGATTAAAATGTTTCAAACCCTGAGATTTGTTTGTTCGTCAAGTGAAAAACAACATGTTAAGTTCCCTTTTCAGTTGTGTATCAGAACCATTACTTAGAACAACTGACGGCATACTGCAAATGTTTTGCCTCCAGCCCTGTTTCACATTTAAAAACACTAACATGTCATTCCACACAAACAGGACACACCTCCTTCTCCAGCTCCACGTTGACCAGCTCTTCCTTCATCTTCTCCATCCGTTCTACCTTACGTCTCAATCCCTCCGTTTCCTCCTTCAGCAGGATCACGTTCTCCCTCGTCTCCCTGGGATACGGAACGAGGAAGAGTGAAAGCGAGAAATGAGAGGTTTTAGAGACATGAATGATAGTTGTCTTCTTTTACAATGTACACATGATCTCTCTTAGCTGTCCTGCTCCATGTGTTTTAGCTGTGTTACCTGAGGTAAACATTCTCCTCTCTTAGCTGTCCTGCTCCATGTGTTCTAGCTGTGTTACCTGAGGTAAACATTCTCCTCTCTTAGCTGTCGGAGCTCCTTGTCCATATCTGGGACCCTAGAGACCTCTGACCTCATGTTCTTCACTATGACAACATCCTGTTCTTGCAGAGCCAACTTCCTCTCCAACTCCTAGAGAGAGGGGGGGGAGAAGAGGAGACACACACACACACCTTTGAGTTGTATTATCAGCTCATGAAAGAGACTTAATGACCATCTGAAAGGTGAAAATCATGTGGAGTGTGTGTTTGTTAGACTGAGAAGAGTTAATAGCCGTCTCTTCATTTGAAGGCAGGTCATTTAAACCCAGTAACTATAAATGGTGATTACATTGAGAGTTTATAAAGCCTAATAGGGGACAGAGGCATCTCGCTGGCTGCTTTTAAATTACCAGTTTAATAACCAAATAATACTTTGGAGAGAAGATAAATGGTTGCCAAATAAGCAGAAACAAAAACCTACCAATCTACCGTTGCATTGCTCTGTTCAACAGCTCAATCTCAACCCCAGTCCTAATCTGAATTTAGTCACCATCAGTCTCAATGTTCATACTTCAGTCAACCCTAATCTCCTAGTTTTCTAAACCTAGTCCCGATCTGAACCCTATTAATACCAATCCTCATCTAGACATAATTCATTCTAGTCCTAATTTGAACAACAATAACCTAGCCTCACCTTAATCTTGAGTTCGTGGTCGGAGCAGGTGGACGATGCTGACTGGAGGGCCTGGCACCGCTGAGACACTTCCTGGTACTTCCTGTAGAGAGGACCAGTCAGTGGGGAGGAAATACAGGAAGGACCAATCAGAGGGAAGGAAATACAGGAAGGTGTGTGTTACCTGTGTTGTAGCTCCACTTGTTCCTGTAGTCCCTGGTTCTCCAGTGTCTGGTTAGAGATTGTGTTGTCCCGAGTCTGGACCTGCTGCTTCAGGTCCCGGATCTCATCCTTTAAACCACTCACCGTCTACAGGGAGAAATAACACATCCTGTAGCCATCAACGGTTTGTGTGTAGCACTATCTGGGTAACCAGCCCCAACCTGGGCCCTCAGACGCGCAAACACCTGACTGCCCGCTTGGCAACGTACTAATCAGTTGCGCCACCGAAAAGTAGCAAATTCGACGATGTGAGCGGAGACATATCAAGTTGTGGAGGGATCTTACGGTATGATCTGAACTCTGTTCCAGGTGTACCTGGTTAGAGAGGTGTGGAGGGATCTTACGGTATGATCTGAACTCTGTTACCAGGTGTACCTGGTTAGAGAGGTGTGGAGGGATCTTACGGTATGATCTGAACTCTGTTCCAGGTGTACCTGGTTTTAGTAGAGGTGTGGAGGGATCTTACGGTATGATCTGAAACTCTGTTCCAGGTACCTGGTTAGGAGGGTGTGGAGGGATCTTACGGTATGATCTGAACTCTGTTCCAGGTGTAACCTGGTTAGAGAGGTGTGGAGGGATCTTACGGTATGATCTGAACTCTGTTCCAGGTTGTACCATGGTTAGAGAGGTGTGGAGGGATCTTACGGTATGATCTGAACTCTGTTCCAGGTGTACCTGGTTAGAGAGGTGTGGAGGGATCTTACGGTTATGATCTGAACTCTGTTCCAGGTGTACCTGGTTAGAGAGGTGTGGAGGGATCTTACGGTATGATCTGAACTCTGTTCCAGGTGTACCTGGTTAGAGAGGTGTGGAGGGATCTTACGGTATGATCTGAACTCTGTTCCAGGTGTACCTGGTTAGAGAGGTGTGGAGGGATCTTACGGTATGATCTGAACTCTGTTACAGGTGTACCTGGTTAGAGAGGTGTGGAGGGATCTTACGGTATGATCTGAACTCTGTTACAGGTGTACCTGGTTAGAGAGGTGTGGAGGGATCTTACGGTATGATCTGAACTCTGTTACAGGTGTACCTGGTTAGAGAGGTGTGGAGGGATCTTACGGTATGATCTGAACTCTGTTCCAGGTGTACCTGGTTAGAGAGGTGTGGAGGGATCTTACGGTATGATCTGAACTCTGTTCCAGGTGTACCTGGTTAGAGAGGTGTGGAGGGATCTTACGGTATGATCTGAACTCTGTTCCAGGTGTACCTGGTTAGAGAGGTGTGGAGGGATCTTACGGTATGATCTGAACTCTGTTCCAGGTGTACCTGGTTAGAGAGGTGTGGAGGGATCTTACGGTATGATCTGAACTCTGTTCCAGGTGTACCTGGTTAGAGAGGTGTGGAGGGATCTTACGGTATGATCTGAACTCTGTTCCAGGTGTACCTGGTTAGAGAGGTGTGGGAGGGATCTTACGGTATGATCTGAACTCTGTTCCAGGTGTACCTGGTTAGAGAGGTGTGGAGGGATCTTACGGTATGATCTGAACTCTGTTCCAGGTGTACCTGGTTAGAGAGGTGTGGAGGGATCTTACGGTATGATCTGAACTCTGTTCCAGGTGTACCTGGTTAGAGAGGTGTGGAGGGATCTTACGGTATGATCTGAACTCTGTTACAGGTGTACCTGGTTAGAGAGGTGTGGAGGGATCTTACGGTATGATCTGAACTCTGTTACAGGTGTACCTGGTTAGAGAGGTGTGGAGGGATCTTACGGTATGATCTGAACTCTGTTCCAGGTGTACCTGGTTAGAGAGGTGTGGAGGGATCTTACGGTATGATCTGACTCTGTTACAGGTGTTACCTGGTTAGAGAGGTGTGGAGGGATCTTACGGTATGACTGAACTCTGTTCCAGGTGTACTGGTTTAGAGAGTGTGGAGGGATCTTACGGTATGATTGAACTCTGTTCCAGGTGTACCTGGTTAGAGAGGTGTGGAGGGATCTTACGGTATGATTGAACTCTGTTCCAGGTGTACCTGGTTAGAGAGGTGTGAGGGATCTTACGGTATGATCTGAACTCTGTTTCCAGGTGTACCTGGTTAGAGAGTGTGTGGAGGGATCTTACGGTATGATCTGAACTCTGTTCCAGGTGTACCTGGTTAGAGAGGTGTGGAGGGATCTTACGGTATGATCTGAACTCTGTTCCAGGTGTACCTGGTTAGCGGTGTTGAGCCGTCCGTCCCTCTCCTCCACCCTTCTGTTGAGGGACTCCAGGGTCCGACGGAGAGCACGGTTTGCCTCGGCCTGCTCCGATAGGCTCTTGCTAGACTCCGCCTCCCTGTCTTCCAGGCGTCTGATTCGTCCCAGCAGGTCCTGGTTACGGTCCACCTCACGCTAGAACATAGAAATTAGAACGTGGGGCATAGAAGTCAGAACGTGGAATTCAGAACACAGATTTTAGAACACAGAATACATAACACAGATCACAGAATATGGAACAGACCAGTAAACAAAGAACATCAAACAAACTGCTGTGGTATGAATTCCCTGCCGGTGGCACTCAGCCCAACATCTCATTCCCGCAGCCCTCTCTCAGATACTAACTCTGTCACTTTCTAACTCCTGCAGTAGGCTCACCCGCTGGAGTCATAAACTGGCCCTAGCCAAACCCATTGGTTGCTACGGGTCATGGTTGCCAGGGGCCATATCACACGGTGAGGTCAGTCAATCACAAGCAGTCATACTGGGTCCCAGGATCCCCAACTTCTGCCTCCCCCTCTGTCTCCTTCCAGCAGTCACAGAGCGAGCAGCAAGCTCATCTCCGTCTTTCACAACAACACCTGGACTCCCTCATATCTCTGGACTGGTGGGATGTTGTGCGTGAAAAGTGGATATTGTTCTTCATAGTTAGTTGTTATTGTTACATTATGTATGCTGCCTCAGTATAGCTTGTAACCGTTAAACATGTTCAGAGTTGGACATTTATACAGTCCTTTATTACAGCTCTCGTGGTATCACACATGTTCACACCTTTCATCTTCCTTCTACAGAACCACTACATCCCCATGTTCCTCGTCCTTCTACAGAACCACTGCATCCCCATGTTCCTCGTCCTTCTACAGAACCACTACATCCCCATGTTCCTCGTCCTTCTACAGAACCACTACATCCCCATGTTCCTCGTCCTTCTACAGAACCACTACATCCCCATGTTCCTCGTCCTTCTACAGAACCACTACATCCCCATGTTCCTCGTCCTTCTACAGAACCACTCCTCCCTGTCCTCGTCCTTCTACAGAACCACACATCCCCAGTTCCTCGTCCTTCTACAGAACCACTAGCATCCCCATGTTCCTCGTCCTTCTACAGAACCCACTCCATCCCCATGTTCCTCGTAGCTTCTACAGAACCACTCACTCCCATGTTCCTCGTCCTTCTACAGAACCACTCATCCCCATGTTCCCTCGTCCGTCTACAGAACCACTACATCCCCATGTTCCTCATCTTCTACAGAACCACTACATTCCCTGTTCCTCGTTCTTCTACAGACCACTACATCCCCATGTTCCTCGTCCTTCTACAGAACCACTACATCCCCCTGTCCTCGTCCTTCTACAGACACTCCATCCCCATGTTTCCCGTCCTTCTACAGAACCACTCTCATCCCCATGTTCCTCGTCCTTCTACGAACCATCTCAATCCCCTGTCCTTCCTCGTCCTTCTACAGAACCACTACATCCCCATGTTCCTCGTCCTTCTACAGAACCACTACATCCCCATGTTCCTCGTCCTTCTACAGAACCACTACATCCCCATGTTCCTCGTCCTTCTACAGAACCACTCCATCCCCCTGTTCCTCGTCCTTCTACAGAACCACTACTCCCCATGTTCCTCTGTCCTTCTACAGAACCACTACATCCCCATGTTCCTCGTCCTTCTACAGAACCACTACATCCCCATGTTCCTCGTCCTTCTACAGAACCACTACATCCCCATGTTCTCCTCGTCCTTCTACAGAACCACTACCTCCCCATGTTCCTCGTCCTTCTCAGAACCACTACATCCCATGTTCCTCCCGTCCTTCTACGACAACCACTCGCTCTCCCATCTCCCCGTCCGTCTTCTACAGAACCACTACATCTCCATCGTTCCTCTTCCTCATGTTGTTTAAGTTCCCCATGTGTTTTAACCTGGCTGCTTATTTCCCTCTAACCGAATGGTCTCAGTGGTCTACCATCCAGTCATACTCCCATGTTCGTCCTTTTCAAGGTTCATGTTTGTTACCACTCCATGGTTGTGTGTTCCCTCCAGGTAGGTGTGTTCTACCCTACCCAGGTTAGGTGTTGTTACCTCCAGCTGTTGTAGGTGTGTTTTCCTCTCCAGGACTAGTCGTTTGTACCTCCAGTGTGTAGGTTGTTTTACCCTCCAGTGTCGTGTGTGTTACCTCCATGTGTGTGTGTTTACCTCCAGGTGTGTGTGTGTGTTACCCTCAGTGTGTGGTGCTGTTTCACCTCCAGTGTGTAGGTGTGTGTTACCCCTCCAGTTTAGGTGTGTGTTACCTCCAGGTTGTTAGTGTTGTTCCCTTCCGTGTTGTAGTTGTCTTTTCCCTCCTCCAGTATAGGTGTCTGTTCCCCTCCAGGTTGTAGTGTGTTTCCCTCCAGGTAGTTCTGTTTACCTCCAGGTAGTGTCATGTTGTGTGTTTCACCTCCATAGTGTGTGTTGTAGTGTGTTACCTCCAGGATGTTGTGGGTGTTGTTACCATCCAGGTTGTCGTGTGTGTTACCTCCAGTGTGTAGTGTGTTTACCTCCAGTATGTGTGTTGTGTGTACCTCAGCAGTGTTGTGTTGTTACCCTCCAGTGTGTTAGGTGTTGTTACCTCCAGGTAGGTGTGTTTTCCATTCCAGGTGTTGTAGGTGTGTTTACCCTCCAGGTGTTAGGTGTGTGTTAACCTCACGTAGGTGTTTAGTGTGTGTTACCTCCAGGTGTGTAGGTGTGTGTTCCTCCAGGTGTGTAGGTGTGTGTTACCTCCAGGGTAGGTGTGTGTTCCTCCAGGTGTGTAGTGGTGTTCCTCCAGTGTGTAGGTGTGTTCCCTCCAGGTGTGTAGGTGTTGTGTTACCCTCCAGGTGTGTAGGTGTGTGTTCCTCCAGGTGTGTAGGTGTGTGTTACCTCCAGGTGTGTAGGTGTGTGTTACCTCCAGGTGTGTAGGTGTGTTACCTCCAGGTGTGTAGGTGTGTGTTACCTCCAGGTAGGTGTGTGTTACCTCCAGGTAGGTGTGTAGGTGTGTGTTACCTCCAGGTGTGTAGGTGTGTGTTACCTCCAGGGTGTAGGTGTGTGTTACCTCCAGTAGGTGTGTAGGTGTGTGTTCCCTCCAGGTGTGTAGGTGTGTGTTCCCTCCAGGTGTGTAGGTGTGTGTTACCTCCAGGTGTGTAGGTGTGTGTTACATACCTCAAAGTCCCTAGCACTCAGCGTAGCGTTCTTCTCTAGTTCGATGCGTGCTCTCTTGTGACTGATCTCCATCTGTCTCTTCTCCTGGTCCATCTGGATCAGCTGGGTCTTAGACTGAACCTTCTCTGCTGCCTCCAGCAACTACACAGAGACACACACACTGTCACTTTCTTGGACACAGGTACACTTTGTGACTTACATACAGAGGTTTCAGACTATACCTTCTCTGCAGTCTCTAGTACTTCACAACAATCCAATGTCTGTCTCAGTCCCAGCACCTATATCCTCTAAATACTGTGCGTAGGATGTGGCGCTGCACCAGGGCAGGTGCATGCGTCTGTGTGTGTTCATCTTTCGTGTGTGTGTGTCTTTAGCAGCGTATTAGTGTGTGTGTGTGTCTTTAGCATTGTGTTAGTATGTGTGTATTTGTGTGTGTGTGTATGTCTTTAGCAGTGTATTAGTGTGTGTGTGTATGTCTTTAAATCAAATAAAATGTTATTTCTTACATGCGCCGAATACAACAGGTGTAGACCTTATTGAAATGCTTACTGACAAGCCCTTAACCAACAATGAATGCAGTTAAGAAATAATACCAAAAAATAAATAAAATAATACAATATAAAATAATATGAAATAAAAGTATCAGATGATTAAAGAGCAGCAGTAAAAATAACAATAGCATGGCTATATACAGGGGGTACCGGTACTGAGTCAATGTGCGGGGGCACCGGTTAGTCCAGGTAATATGTACATGTAGGTAGAGTTATTAAAGTGACCATGCATTGACAATAAACAGACATCAGCAGCATAAAAGAGAGGGGGGGGGGGGGGGCAATGCAAATAGTCTGGGTAGCCATTTGATTAGATGTTCAGGAGTCTTATGGCTTGGGGGTAGACGCTGTTTAGAAGCCTCTTGGACATAGACTTGGCGCTCCAGTACTGCTTGCCTTGCGGTAGCAGAGAGAACAGTCTATGACTAGGGTGGCTGGAGTCTTTGACAATTTTTAGGGCCTTCCTCTGACATCGCCTGGTATAGAGGTCCTGGATGGCAGGAAGCTTGGCCCCAGTGATGTATTGGGCCGTACGCACTACCCTCTGTAGTGCCTTGCGGTCGGAGGCCGAGCAGTTGCCATACCAGGCAGTGATGCAACCAGTCAGGATGCTCTCTATGGTGTAGCTGTAGAACTTTTTGAGGATCTGAGGACCCATGCCAAATCTTTTCAGCCTCCTTAGGGGGAATAGGTTTTGTCGTGCCCTCTTCACGACTGTCTTGGTGTGCTTGGACCATGTTAGTTTGTTGGTGATGTGGACACCAAGGAACTTGAAGCTCTCAACCTGCTCCACTACAGCCCCGTCGATGAGAATGAGGGCGTGCTCGTCCTCTTCTTTTTCCTGTAGTCCACAATCATCTCCTTTGTCTTGATCACGTTGAGGGAGAGGTTGTTGTCCTGGCACCACACGGCCAGGTCTCTGACCTCCTCCCTACAGGCTGTATCGTCGTTGTCGGTGATCAATGTATTAGTGTGTGTGTGTGTGTGTGTTTAGCAGTGTATTAGTGTGTGTGTGTGTCTCCTTAAGTGTGTCTGTCCTACCCCACCCACCTCTAATCTCTGCAGGTACTGTTTTTGTAGGGCGTTGCTCTGCACTGGGGATGGTTCTCCCTGGTTCCGAGACGTGTCCGGGAGAGAGATGAAACTCTTAAATGACTTAAGAGTGGCGAACACCGTCGTGTCATCCTCAATGTCCATGGTGGTCAACTCTAGCTTCTGTAATAGAGAGAGACCAACATTTACAGGAGCTCCATAAGACGTCAGTGGTAAAGTGTTTATTTACAAGCTTGCTGCACTAGAACAGAGGGAGGGTAACTAGTTGGCAACATTTTACAGTAGCTTCATATTCCTATGTGACATAGGAGGCTATGTCCATGGTCAACGAGCATTTTGGGGCCACTATCTGTGGTGGGCAAGAAGACGCCTCTTAGCTAGCTATAACGCTGGTCCATACGCATGCATCGGATGCGCATGCGCCTGGAGCAGAGCTAGTCCGGCGTTAAATAAAGTGTCCGAAAGTCGCGACATGATGTTTGCAATGAGCATACAGAGAAAAGTTGGTCAGTACTCTAGCAAAATATTTACTTAAGTATAATGAAGCTAGTCACTTACATTACACAATTGGAAAGATGAAGGGTCAAGCCGCATGTAACGCCATGGACCAGAGCTCCCAACGTTCACTTGTAACCAACTAGCAATGCTAACCTGCTACCAGGGTTGCCTATTAACTATGGATTACTCGGTCATTTTAAAGATGGACGATTCACACGTCGTAGTTGATGATCATATTAATGTGATCACAACAACTTCTTGAACATAGTTAGCCAAACTTGCTTGATAAGAATGACAGTTAACGTTGGCTAGCTAGACGTTTCGAATCCCCTAGTTAACTAACGTTAGCTAGCAAGCTCAATTGGCTCATTGTCAACACATGTTGATCAGATAGACGTCGACAAATAATCCGAATATTACATAATATGGACACGTTATAGATCAGATCTTACCTTGGAACTTTACTTTTAAAAGTTGACTAGCTAGGTAGTTATAGATACTAACAACAGCTAGCTAGCATAACTTCGAACTCCCTCCTTTCCCAGAAAAATATATGTGCTGTTATCGCGAGAATACCTGCTGCGTTCTAAAGATGATCAAGGCTGCGCTTGATGCGCATTTTGAGCAATTCACTAAATACTTATTTATGAGTAGGATCATTTTATATCTTAATACCATTTGGTTTGGAAGTAATGGTGATTTTTATATAAACTAATCCGTGTAGCGGCTTGAATACCTTTTTAGCAGTTTAGCATGGTTCCACTGTTTGAAGAAAGAAACTTCTTCTTCGATGGTATTCTTCTTCTTCTTTGGAATTGGGTTGGCGGATCTTCTATGGTATATTGGCGATCTTACAATGTTATGTGCATCTCGCTACTTACTGTGGGGGATTGAAACAGAATTCCCCAAAAACGGAACAAACTACAAAAAACGACCAAAAAATGTATAATTTTTTTTACTAAACTAAATCAAACAACTTTTCTGTTAAAAAATAAAACAGATATTTTCCCTAAACAAGTCTCAAGGGGAGCCTGAGAGGGCCTTCCCCACCACAATTGCAACACCGTCGTCCGTCTACACACTGTGCTTCATTATACTCCGTCCGTCTGCACACGCTTGAAACATGGACAAATCCTTAACCATTTTTACACTGCAGTGGTTTGGGGACTTACAGCGTATCCTCGTTAACCAAGCTTCACGTGCGTAGGTAGGTGCTCTTTATCAAAAAACAACAGGACCTACAGACTTTCTTATTTTTCTCCATTCACCCAGCGGGTCAGACGCCGGGCACCAACCACACCAGGAATTCTCTTCAGGTATTCAACCTAAACATCTGTCGTCACCCGTGAGATGACTCTTTTAACGGGTGCTCTACTCCGAAGTTCAAAGCACATTGATTGTTCCATTCTTTTGAGCCCACTGCAATTTCCCTGTTCTATCAGAAATACAATTCATCAAAATAGAGACCATCTCATGGTACACATCTATGATGAGAGAAAAAATCAGAAAATCCATTGTAGCTTTTATGAATTATTTGCAAATTCTGGGGAAATAAGTATTTGGTCAATAACAAAGTTCAATACTTTGTTCACCCTTTGTTGCATGACACAGTCAAACGTTTCTGTAGTCTTCACAAGGTTTTCACACACTGTTGCTGGTATTTGGCCCATTCCTCATGCTCTCCCTAGAGCATGATGTTTGGGGCTGTTGCTGGGCAACACAGACTTCAACTCCCTCCAAGATTTTCATGGGGTGGATTGGAGACGGCTAGGCCCCAGGAATGCTTTTACAAGCCACTCCTTCGTTGCCCTGGAGGTGTGTTTGGGATCATTTCATGCTGGAAAGACCCATCGCCCCGTTTCATTTCTTCAATGCCCTTGCTGATGGAAGGAGGTTTTCACTCAAAATCTCACGATACATGGCCCCATTCATTCTTTCCTTTACACGGATCAGTCGTCCTGGTCCCTTTGCAGAAAAACAACCCCAAAGCATGATGTTTCCACCCCCATGCTTCACAGTAGGTATGGGGTTCTTTGGATGCAACTCAGCATTCTTTGTCCTCCAAACACGACGAGTTGAGTTTTTACCAAAAAGTTATATTTTGGTTTCATCTGACCATATGACATTCTCCCAATCCTCTTCTGGATCATCCAAATGCACTCTAGCAAACTTCAGACGGGCCTGGACATGTACTGGCTTAAGCAGGGGGACACGTCTGGCACTGCAGGATTTGAGTCCCTGGCGGCGTAGTGTGTTACTGATGGTAGGCTTTGTTACTTTGGTCCCAGCTCTCTGCAGGTCATTCACTAGGTCCCCCCGTGTGGTTCTAGGATTTTTGCTCACCGTTCTTGTGATCATTTTGACCCCACGGGGTGAGATCTTGCGTGGAGCCCCAGATCGAGGGAGATTATCAGTGGTCTTGTATGTCTTCCATTTCCTAATAATTGCTCCCACAGTTGATTTCTTCAAACCAAGCTGCTTACCTATTGCAGATTCAGTCTTCCCAGCCTGGTGCAGGTCTACAATTTTGTTTCTGGTGTCCTTTGACAGCTCTTTGGTCTTGGCCATAGTGGAGTTTGGAGTGTGACTGTTTGAGGTTGTGGACAGGTGTCTTTTATACTGATAACAAGTTCAAACAGGTGCCATTAATACAGGTAACGAGTAGAGGACAGAGGAGCCTCTTAAAGAAGAAGTTACAGGTCTGTGAGAGCCAGAAATCTTGCTTGTTTGTAGGTGACCAAATACTTATTTTCCACCATAATTTGCAAATAAATTCATTAAAAATCCTACAATGTGATCTTCTGGAGAAAAATTTTCTCAATTTGTCTGTCATAGTTGACGTGTACCTATGATGAAAATTACAGGCCTCTCTCATCTTTTTAAGTGGGAGAACTTGCACAATTGGTGGCTGACTAAATACTTTTTTTCCCCACTGTATATTTTTTTGATACTACTGTTGTCCATTCAGGTCATTCATCTTTTGAACATAATTTGTTTATACGAAACATAGAAATGCGCCATTTTCACATATGTAGACACTGGTTTGGTGCTGGAGATAATATGAGGTTGAAAAGTTCTACCTGATGACATCAAAAGTTAAACAGTGATTTTCAAACACTATGAGATACATGGTGACCTGGAGAGCAAGGAAATACCCTCCCTCCCTGACTAGAAACATGTTTTTCTTACTTTTAATCCTACCCTGTGATGTCACAGAGAAGCATTTTTTAGGACAGATTATAAAAACGTGCCGTTTTTACATATGTAGACACTGGTTTGAAAGGCTGGTCATGGCTCACATCAACACCATCATCCCAGACACCCTAGAACCACTCCAATTTGCATACCGCCCCAACAGATCCACAGATGACGCAATCTCTATTGCACTCCACACCGCCCTCTCCCACCTGGACTAGAGGAATACCTATGTGAGAATGCTGTTCATTGACTACAGCTCAGCGTTCAACACCATAGTGCCCTCCAAGCTCATCACTAAGCTAAGGACCCTGGGACTGAACACCTCCCTCTGCAACTGGATCCTGGACTTCCTGATGGGCCGCCCCCAGGTGGTGAGGGTAGGGAACAACACATCCGCCACACTGACCCTCAACACGGGGGCCCCTCAGTGGTGCAAGCTTAGTCCCCTCCTATACTCCGTTCACCCACGACTGCGTTGCAGCGCACGACTCCAACACCATCATTATGTGTGCTGACGACACGACGGTGGAAGGCCTGATCACCAACGACGACGAGACAGCCTATAGGGAGGAGGTCAGAGACCTGGCAGTGTGGTGCCAGGACAACCACCTCTCCCTCAACGTCAGCAAAACAAAGGGGCTGTTCGTGGACTGCAGGAAATGAAAGGCCGAGCACGCCCCCATTCACTTCAACAGGGCTGTAGTGGAGTGGGCTGAGAGCTTCAAGTGCCTTGGTGTTCACATCACTAAGGATCTATCATGGTCCACACAAACTAACACAGTCGTGAAGAGGGCACGACAATGCCTCTTCCCCCTCGGGAGGCTGAAAATATTTGGCATGGGCCATCAGATCCTCCAAAAGTTCTACAGCTGCACCACTGAGAGCTTCTTAACTGGCTGCATCACCGCTTGTTATGGCAACTGCTTGGCATCCGACCACAAGGCGCTACAGAGGGTAGAGCGTACGGCCCAGTACATCACTTCCTGCCATCCAGGACCTCTATACCAGGCAGTGTCAGAGGAAAGACCTAAACATGGTCAAAGACTCCAGCCACCCACGTTATAAACTGTTCTCTCTCTCTGCTAAATATTGTAGTTAGTTCAATAGTTAACCATATTGCTACCTGGACTATTTGCATTTACCCTTTTTGCACTAACTCTTTTGACTCATCACATACGCTGCTGCTACTGTTTATTATCTGTCACTTTAATCCTAGTTATATGTACAGTACATATCTACAGCAATTACCTCGTACCCCTGCACATCGACTCAGTACTGGTACCCTGTGTATATAGCCAAGTTATCGTTACTCATTGTGTATTTATTATTACGTGTGATTTACTTTTTGTTCTACTTCTCTATTTTCTTTCTCTCTGCATTGTTGTGAAGGGCCTGTAAGTAAGTAAGCATTTCACTGTTAGTCTACACCTGTTGTTTACCAAGCATGTGACATATATAATAATATAATATGCCATTTAGCAGACGCTTTTATCCAAAGCGACTTACAGTCATGCGTGCATACATTTGTGTATGGGTGGTCCCGGGGATCGAACCCACTACCTTGGCGTTACAAGCGCCGTGCTCTACCAGTTGAGCTACAGAGGACCACACATATAACATTTGATTTGTTTGGTGCTTACACCCACTGCATTCACTGATGTCTCTTAAATTAGGTTAGGTGGTGATACATTATACAAACAGTTATCCTGAATGATGCACAAACCTACTAAGAAGAATGAAAAACAAAACAGTAATGTAAATTACTTTTTTGTTCAGTTTTGCATCATATTAGTCTGTTAGGTAAACACAACTTCTCATAATGATTGACAGTGAATTATACTGAACAAAAATATAAACGCAACATGCAACAATTTAAAAGATTTTACTGAGTTACATTCATGAGGAAATCAGTCAATTGAAATAACTTAATTAGGCCCTAATCGCTGGATTTAACATTACACATGTGCACCTTGTGCTGGGGACAATAAAAGGCCACTCTAAAATGTGCAGTTTTGTCATACGACACAATAACACAGATGTCTCAAGTTTTGAGGGAGCGTGCAATTGGTGTACTGAGTACAGGAATGTCCACCAGAGCTGTTGCCAGAGAATTGAATGTTTATTTCTCTACCATAAGCCGCCTCCAAAGTTGTTTTAGAGAATTTGGCAGTACGTCCAAACGGACCACGCCAGCCCAGAACCTTCACATCCGACTTCTTCACCTGCGGGATCGTCTGAGACCAGCCACTCGGATAGCTGATGAAACGGAGGTGTATTGCTGTCTGTAATAAAGCTATTTTGTGGGGAAAAACGTAGCATCCATGGCTGCGCCCCTGCCCAGTCATGTGAAATCCATACATTAGGGCCTAATGAATT